TCTTCTTCAAAAGCTACATGAGGAGGAAGGCGCCAGCCAAGAGAGGGGCTCTGGGTCCTTGGTGCAGCTCCGTATGACCACAGTCCCACTCGGCTATGCAGATGTCACTTCCAATAAACACCAGGGCTTTCCTGCGCTGGACTCTAATTGAAGGGATTGTTACTGTGGGTGAATGGCTGGGGAATTAATTAATGCAAAGCCAACCACTTCATAAATGCCTGCTTTGTGAGCAGCCCCAGCGTCGCGAGACCACGACTCCTGTGGGCAGCTCAGCCCTAGACTCCGTGTCAGCAAAGGATGCGTATTGTCACCCTCAGACCTTCCTGCGGCTCCTGGAGGACCAGGTCTCACCCGGAGCCTGTGGCCACAGCACTGTCCTCAGAGTTCTCTGGGGCTGAGCACACAATGTGGAAAGTCTGCCCACAGTCTTCTGGTTCTCTCACATACAACCTGACTTTGTTTGTTGAAGGAAGTTTTCACTTGCAAGTGGTGAAGATGAAAACAGGAGGGCAGGCAGAGAAAAAGTTTGTCTCAATCGGCCTATTCCTAATTTGGTGACCTGAGCTCTGTGTGGGTCCAAAAGTACCACACCCACCTGCAGTGTGTTCTGAGCTGGCTTCCTCAGTCTCCACCTGTTTTATTTATTTTACTTTATTTATTTATTTTTAAGATTTATTTATTTATTTATACAAGCACTGGGTACAGTCAGAAGCGCGGGAGGGTGGGAGAATTCACCAGAGCCAGAGCGGGGAGCAGAGCAGGCAGACTGACCAAGTACACTGCTGAGGGGAGCAGCGGGTGCGACAGGAGAGGTCTGCGCACCACGTGGGACCCTCGCCCGGGTCCGGGGATCAAACCGGTGCTGCAGAGGCTGCGGGCAGCTTCACAGCCCAGCGCTCAACTGCTGCGCCACCAGGGAGGCCCTAATTAATTTTTTAAAAAGAGTTATTTTTTTATGCATACAAGAACTGGGGGGTAAGCCAGAGGTGCGGGGGAGGGGTGGTAAGAGGATTCACCAGAGACAGAGTGGGGAGCAGAACAGGCGGATCCACTGAAATACACTGCTGAGGGGAGCAGCGGGGCAGACAGGAGGTCTGCTGCACCATATGGGTCACCTCCCTCGTCTGAGATGGAACTTGTGCTGCAGTGACTGGCGGTAGCTTGATTGCGCTCTCTTTAAGCCCTGCGCCACCAGCCACCAGGGGGGCCCCTCCACCTAATTTAAATACCAGTTCCCATGTGAAAGCAGCAAGTGGACTCTTCAGGTAACTTGCTTCCTAGGAATAGTGGATGGAAAAAACAAGTGGTGAGTGATTATGCCAACCCCCTGACTAATATATATACCCTCATGGAATACACACAGTGTGGGTGGTTTTATTTTTCCAAAAAAAAAAGGTCCAGGTACTGCTGCCATAGCACATCCAGCCCCAGATCTGTTTTGGCGGCGGGGACTTTGCAGTCTCCTCAGTCTAAACCTCCATGGATGCCAGCATGAAATCTCCCTCTAAGCTAAAAAAAAAAAAGGGAAAAGTGTGCCATGGTGTAGCAGTGGCAGAATTGAAAGGTTTTTTTCTTTATACTCTTGTGGTATCTAAATGTTTTATGGTGAAGATGTATATTTTATATTCAAGAAAAAAATGCATAATGTGAAAAACTAAAATTATTTTGGTTTCATAAAATCCCTCAAGGGCCTGAGGTTTGCTTTGGCAGCTTAATCTGATTTTTGCGGAAGTGGCGTTCTGGTCCTGAAAATTAGCCTGGGTCATAAAACAAGGAGACTATGACATTCTCTGAAATAGGATCCTGAACCACTGGTTTCTGTCTAACCTTAGTGAAAAAGCAGTAAGTACAGGAGAAAGTGATACTTGAAAAACTCCATTTTCTCCCTTCCCTGTTCTTATCCCTCTTCTATGTCCTTGGCACCTTTGACTTCTCTCCACTTTCCCTGTTTTGCTTTGTTTTTCCCCTTGCCATTAATTACTTAAACACTGTCTGAGACTAAGGTCTGGTGTTAGTCATTTACACCTTAGTATAAACTAAATCATTCAGCATTGATTTAGTTCTGATGTTGTATGTACATATTTATATTTTAGTTAGAAATCCAAATGTGTATTGAAAGGAATCTAGCAAAATGAATGAAATCAGACATGTCCATTCCTGGCTTCTCTGGAGGAAAGGCAGGCCCTGAGACCAGTCACATAGCTGACAACAATAAATGTTTTCACTTTAGCTATAGACTATCACCATTTAGTCTCTCTGTCCCTTTGAAATAGCACACATTGCAGGGATACTACTAAACGTGGGAATGGTTGAAATAATGTGCAGTTTGCAGAAATATTGATAGGCCAGGCCTTTTAAGAAACTGTACTTTTTATTCTTTCTGGGAAATTATATTTGTTCAAAACATATATGATGAGAATGTACTTTGAGTATCTGATAAATGAAAATGAGTGATTTTGAGTGAAAATGAGTAGATTTTGGAAACAGATGAGGAAACTATATCCTAGAGATATCAAAGGACTTGCTGAAGGTCATTCATTGGGCAGGATAGAGCTTAAACTAGAAGAAAGGTTTCTGACTCCTAGCATGGGCTTTTCTTGCTTCAACACAGCATCTCCTATATCTCCTCATACAAGTCCTGGAAACATCTACCTCATGCTCATGGAAAGCCTCAGACTGACCTTCCTGAAGTGTCTCCCTTTTAGGGATTTTTGGTAAATAGGCAAGAAATGGAGCTGAATGAACACATGCCACATTTCTGAACCTGATTAGACCTTGCTCTGAAAATAAAAGGATGCCACAGAAAAAAAGAAAACTTAGAATTGCTGGTCAGTGCTACCTTTCCCATCCTTCTGGTCCTTTCTCAGTGTGGTCAATGCTGGGTTATTCACATGCTATCCAGGACTTATAGCTAGAGAGATAGAGAGGCTGGCCATAAGGGACTTCCCCAGGAACCAGCCCTTAAGTAGAGCACCCCAGTGCAAGCCCACCTCCCAAGCCAGAGGATGAATTAGCACTGGCCTTCTATTAGCCAGAGGTGGATGATTAAAAGTTGACTCTGACACCCCCCCCCCCAGAGTTAGATCTGGGATCACCTGTTATCAGGCCCTGTGGGGACAGCACCTTGGCCCTTTAACCTTTGTGCACTGTATATTTGCCACCAGTACCCCATCTGCTTTCACCTAAAGCCAAAATAAGACCTTGATCTTGACTCACCAATGTGTGCCACATAAAGAATTTCAGTACCTGCCATTTCTGTATTATTCCTTTATTCAACTAACCATTCACCAGGCACTGGGCTAGGCTCTTGCTATATAAAGAAACTGAACACAACTCTTGCTCTTGACAAACTAATGTGACAATTAGAAAAAAAGGAACAAATGACAGAGAGTCTGGTGGATTTATACCCAGATGGACAATACCTCTTTACTCTTTAAGACTCACACCAGACTTCGCCCATTTCAAAAGGTGTCCTGGTCCTCTGCAAGCAGAGAAGTGCTTCTGTGCCCTGGATTATTCCTCAACCACAGAATTTCTCATATAATGTTAAAGTTATTTCTATGCATGTTGCTTCATTCCTTAGATTGTATATGAAAGGGGAAGGGTAGAAGGAGAAAAAGCAGCAACATACTTTGTTTCTAGACAAATACGTTTTGTCCAGAGTACCCACAGTATCTGGAAGTTTTCAGGTAAAAGAATGAAGAACTGAATGGAAAGGTGAATGAATGAATGAATGAATTTTCAAGCTCTCTTGTCCTCTACCTACATTGACGTCCCTGTCTCAAATGTGTGTCCACCAGTCCAAACAGGAAGTATGTTTGGACTCCTTCTGGTTTCTTCATCTGTAGAGTGTATGGTTATTTCCATTTAATTATGCAAACTTACAGAATTTAGAGAAGTGAAAGAAGCATCTCAGCCTAAAGCACTCTTTTGCTGTCTTTGTTTTTGTTTCTCCAGGACCACAGAGTACGTGTGAGCCTGTGTGAGTGTGGGGCCTGCACGCCATTTGGAAGCATCCTCAATAACAGGTGTCCCTCCAGTAGGTCTCAGTGGTGATGGAGAGTAGGGATGGTGTGCCAGCAAGATGGGGAGACACTGCCTGCCAAAACCAAGCCCATTAAATCTTAACCCTCATTCAGGCCTGCCACAGGAGGAGAAAGCTGATGAACACCTGAATGTCAGGGTGGTTACAGCATCTGTTAAGTGGTTTGTTAGGGTGATTGTTGAGAATTTTGCACAGAGATGACCCTGGCAATGATCAAAGCAAGGCAGACCTGGCCCCAAGCCAGCTTCAACCACGTCCCACCCCCCCCCAGGCCAGGTGAGCTGGCTTGGCTGCTCCCTGGCCAGCTTTCTCTCACTCTCTTGTAACCTCTTCTTTTAAGAAAAGTCTGGCAACCTCCCCCCATAAGATGCCTGGCACCATAATTTTTGCCTGTTCTTACATGTGAAATAAAAACCTTTACCCCAGAGATAAGGACAGGTTGGAAAAAACGTTGTGTGTTGGTTTTAGTGACTTTTCTTAAAGGCAGGTAACCCTCTGTATTAGTTTCCTGTGACTGGTATCAACTGACCATCAACTTGAGAGCTTCAAACAATAGACGTTTATGTTCTCATAATATCAGAGCCAGATATATGAAATCGAGGTGTTGTTAGGGTCCTGCCCTCTCTGAGAGCTTTAGGGGAGAGATTTCTTGGACTTTTCCTGCTTCTGGGGGTTCTGGAAATTCTTTAGTTATGGCCAAATAAACCCATCTTGCCCCCATCTTCACATGCCATGCCCTCCCCTCTTAGTGGCCTCTCCCTTCTTTAAGGACATCCATCATTAATATACCTGAAGAGGTCTCCAGTAAGTCACGATCACAGGGTCTGGGGTGTAGGACATAGGTAGATCTTTGGGGACCCACCGTGCAGCCCACTGCATTCTCTCCTAGTAATGGTATTCACCCCCAAAATCAGAATGGAAGCATTGTACTTCAGCTCATTGATGATTCACTTACTCAGCGCTCAGAGTGCCTGCTGCTCTGGATGCCGTGTGCTCACTCAGCAGTGAGGGTCCCAGCTGAGGCAGGCATGGTCTGCACCTCTAGAGGGTCTCAACCTGGGAAATCAGGCAGAAAAGCAAATAGTTAATATAGCCTGGAAGAAATATCAGCACAACACAGTGGAAAAGGGAAAAGTCCCTCCATTCAAGAATTCCATAGTCCATTTCCCTGTAATTCCATATTCCAAGCAGCATTGCTCTCTTGTCGTTCACATGTCACTGAATCTGCTTAACCAGAAAAATGAAAACTGATGAGGAAGGAGAGTATCCAGGGGGATAGGGGAGATTTCCTCCCTGAAGACATTTCTCCAGGCCATGAATATGTCTGTCTGAATATTCAAAGTGAGGGTAGACATTCAGTAGAAAGCAGTGCACTGGGGGCATCGTGTTTCGGAAGTCTGAGCACAGAGCATCACTGAATCTGAAATCGTTCACACATGGACAGAAGTGATGGCTTCCTGAAAAGCCTTCTACGTATTTGTGCACAAATCGACAAGTTGGACGGATGCCAAGAAAGCCAGCGCGCTCGTTCACTCTTGAGTTGTTTAAGCATTTTAATACTTCAGTTATGCGGGGCAGTATCTGACCCCCACGTGAAGCCGCACATGTGCAGAGCTGTAGATTGGCGACAGACGGACTGGCTGAATACGCGAGACAAGGTCAGCGCTCATTGCTGCAAAACAGAGATCCTAAAACCTCTCTGGAGTGTTCAAAGCTAGGGGGGTTGGGAGGATGTAGGGCATTATTCAGGGTGATATGCATGCCAGGTGGAGAGCAATCAAGCAAATATACTCTGTCAAATGGTTCTAGAAGGTTCCTATCTCATAGCAAAGCTTTCTTTCGGTATCTAAAGAATTCCACAACTTAGGAGGCAAATTGTGGTTGTGTTTATCCTTGAAAGCTGATATAATACAGATAGATAGGAGAGAGGCATGTAGACATTGTGCAAATTGGCTGGAATATTGAGCAGAATATTGGCTGGAATATTGAGCAGAATATTGGCTGGAATATTGTACTTCAGAAATAAAACTCAATTTTATTTGCCAGAATGACTCCTTTACTCTATATTTTAAAAAGTAGATGTAGTATCTTGTAGCAAAATGACATTTTTTCTGATTTTTTTTTACATAATTGAAACTCACTGAATAAGACAGAGATGACTGCATCCTTGGTGTCCTGGCATTAACTTTGAAAAAAAGAATTATGTCCTGGGAGAGTTTCTCAGAAAACTGGCTAAGATCCACCAACTGTCTAGAGAAAGTTAAAAACACAAGTGCAAAATTTCCTAGAAAGTCATGTTCTGGTGACTCAGCTCAGTCAACCTCAGGTCAGTGGACATTGCAAATTCTAGTCTTTCTCTAAAAAATGACTCATGTTAAGTCCTGACCATATATTTTGACAAATATAAACATTAACTATTATAATTGCTCTAATATACTCAGCATAGCTTCATACAGTTGTTCAGACAGCTGAGAAATGATATGGGTGGACCTGACTAACTCCCAGGTCCCCACTCAGTTTACACTTTACCAAAAGAGGGTGATTTATGCTGACCTTACGTTGCTCTAAACGACCAGGGTAACCCCACCCAGAAAATGGGTTATATTATGCCAGTGAATTCCCCATAAGGATTACTTCCATTTTCTTTCTGGCTTACTTCACTGAGCATGATCCCTTCCAGCTCTATCTATGTTACTGCAAATGGCACGAGTTTATCTTTTTGATTGCTGAGTAATATTCCGTTGTGTATATGTACCACATCTTCTTGAAAGAAAAAGAAAAATACCGGAAGTTCTCACTCATAGTAGGAATTTAGACAACCCAAATAAGGGATCAGGAAAAAGACCAAATATAATAAAGTAAAAATCAAAATCAACAGGCAATTATAAACCAGAGACACACTACAGGGGTGGGGTGGGGGCGTGGGGAGAAAAGAGCAAGATCAAAACAAGGGTGGTGGGAATTTTACAAGGACTATAACCAAGATGAAAATGCATACATTGTGCAAAAATGAAAAATGATGTAAAAAATATATAAAATAAAAAAAAAAAAAGAATTACTTCCAATCAATTTCTCCTTTCTAAGTCATTCTACCAGGAAAAAAGTAAAATAAAAACACAAGAAACTCCATCCTTCAAAGGCCAGACAGAAATGCAGGTAGTGAGTTCTGTCTACAGATCTCATTTAGGAAAATGTCACTATGTCATACCATCCATCACCCTAGGGTGACCAGCCTACGGGCTCGGGCTGCTCCAGACTGTGTCTGTTGTGATCCTCTACTTCCACTCCTGTCCGAGGCCAGCAGTGCAGCTTGGACAGCACTGCCCTAAGCAAGATGCGGCCATGGTAAGACCAAAGGGCAAGAAGGCCCACTGGTCAGTTCAGCAGGTTAAATGAGGCTTCCACAAACATGGCCACATCCCAGACACTGTGAATGTGACCTTATTAGGAAAAAGGGTCTTTCTCCAAAAGACACTGAGGTTAAGAACAGGAGATGGGATCACCCCCAGGTTATCCAAATGGACCCTAAATCCCATGACAAGTGTCTATCAGAGAAGAAGGGGAACTCACAGGAAGATAGAGCTCAGCTGGAGTAATGCAGCTGCAGTCAAAGATGTCTGGCACCCCCAGAAGGTGGAGGACAGGAAGTAGAGTTCTCCCCCAGAATTTCTGCAGGAGACCTAGGCCCTGCCAACACCCTGACTTCAGACTTTTGACCTCCGAGCTGTGAGAGAATAAATCCATGTTGCTGTAAGCCAAACCAAGTATGTGCGCTTTTGTTAAGGCAGCCCTGGGAAACTCATACGCTTTACTTCATTTGCAGCTGTAAATTACATTTCCATGATGCAGAATGCCAAATCTCACTATTATCAAGCTCACAGATCTGAAATTTGAAGCGTCACATATTTCTTTCATTTTATATTTGGCCATCTCTCTTAGACTTATCCATTAGTCAACAAACACTTAAAAGCTACTAATTTGATGTAACAAGAAAAAGGCCATTGAACTAGAGAATTGTACTAGACAGGTGCTTATGGTTTTCACTACAATACATTACACATGTCGCTGAGGGCATCTGTCCTCAGAAATTGAAGTTCCTTTCTCTGAAAATCACACCGACAGTCACAGGACTGAGCCCCAGGACAGAGCTGAGATACATGACTCATCACCACCTCCACCACACCCCCATCAAACTAGCTAGAATTAATTGGAGCAGGAACAGGGATGGGCCTTGACCTACACTTGACCAATCACATGGTGTCTCCTGGAATTTGAAGCTGAGATGAAGATCGCTAAGCAACCTGGGCTGGTGGGTGCTAGAGAAGGAAGCTACAGATATAAGGAGTCCCTCTTCCTGCCTTTTCATGGCTGGAGATGGTCAGTCTGGAGGCAGAAGAATGGGACAGATTCCAGATAAAAACAAAGATCAGGCACACAAAGAGTTCTTCTTGGCTTCCTCGTGATTCCCAGATCCCCATAGAGCCTAAGGGTTGCAGCTTCCAGTCCCTCAAGGAGTCCTGCAGCCCTTGTGTTCTGTGCCATATTCCATCATCCTTCCTAGACCTTCTTTTTCATTTAAATTCACTCAAGCTGATTTCTATTGTTAGCAACCAAGAGAAACATTATTAAGATTTAAATGAGGGTCTCCCCTGGTGGCCCAGTGGTTGAGCCCTGGGCTGCGGAAGCTGCCCACAGCCTCTGTTGTACCGGTTTGATCCCTGGCCCTGGTGAGGGTCCCACATGGAGCAACAGACCTCTCCTGCCACGCCCGCTGCTCCCCTCAGCAGTGTACTTCATCAGTCTGCCTGTTCTGTTCCCCACTCTGGCTCTGGTGAATTCTCTCACCCTCCTGTGCTTCTGACTGTACCCAGTGCTTGTATAAATAAATAAATAAATCTTTAAAAAAAAGACTTAAATGAATATCAGCAAATAAAATTAGCAAAAATCTACATTTCACTCGATATTAGCCAAAAGCTGAGAACCGATAAAATTTACATGCCACAATGGACCTACCCATCTCCCTGTCTGCATCCATCCATCTAGATATCAAGCTAACTGTGTCTATAGGTATCTCTATGTGTAACACACACAACATTTCCCCACTCTTAAAATTATATCTAAACATTTAAGGAATTTTTAAGCTTTGCCTTCTTCCTTTAAAGAAACTATACATCTTACTCTACCCATTACTCATTAAATTAGAATTTAATAAAGTTTATTTCATGCATACTAAGAATTCTGGAAAAAAAAAGTTTGAAAGTCTTCTTCTCCTTGAAGTATTTATGATCTAATTTAGAAGATAAAATATACACTCTGGCCTCGTGCCTTTGTCTCACCTTGTCATAATTACCGGTGGTTTTCAGTTTTCATAAATTGGAGTCTTCTCTATATCCCGTCCAGCCACATTGTACACTGACACCTCTCAACCAGTTTTTGTTTGCCAAATTCAGATCTTTATAAATCAGCTGCAAAGTGAACATTTTGAGCTATTGCATGGCGGTGCTGTCAGCCAAGTGCTGAGTTTTGGCAGTGTTGCCATTTTATCTGCACGGCAATGTTTTTCTGCAATTATTTGAAATTTTTTATTGCATTATGCCCCTATGGTTTTATAAAAATAAGTGGGGAAATGGAAAAATGAAAGCCCTTAAATGTAATTCTGGTGAACTTAACACAATCAAGATGAAGCTGGAAATCAGGCAGCCCATGTGGTTAAACTCTCTCAGGATTTAAACTGGTAAAGGAAAATAGCAAAACTAAGGGACTGTTATAAAATGCTGTAAATATATATCTTCAAAGAGTGGATGTAAAAGAAGATTTGATCATTTTTGCAGCCTGTCAGGAATGGAATCCCTCTCTCCTCAGTTCTGCATTCTGTGCCCTGACTGACACAAGAAGGTTTTCAGGGAGAAGCGCCCAGAGGAGTAGTCACCCACTCTCTCTGGTTTCTAAGCTTCACGATCAGGTAAGAAAGGCGCTTACTTGTCTTAGGCACTTTCCTCTCTGTCCCCCCTCGTCACAGTTCATCATAGCTCATGCATCAAACCTTCCTGCCATGG